GGAAAGGGCGCCGAGTAGACGAACTCGATCTCGCGCCTGCAGGACAGCTCCAGGAAAGGTCTAGGAAAGGTCTAGGAAAGGGCGCCGAGTAGACGAGCTCGATCTCGCGCCTGCAGGACAGCTCCAGGAAAGGTCTAGGAAAGGTCTAGGAAAGGGCGCCGAGTAGACGAGCTCGATCTCGCGCCTGCAGGAAAGCTCCAGGAAAGGTCCAGGAAAGGTCTAGGAAAGGGCGCCGAGTAGACGAGCTCGATCTCGCGCCTGCAGGACAGCTCCAGGAAAGGTCTAGGAAAGGTCTAGGAAAGGGCGCCGAGTAGACGAGCTCGATCTCGCGCATCGTCTGCGCGATGCGCGACTTTCGCCGCTGCACGCGCGACACAAACTGCTTGAGCGCCGCGTCGGTGCGGCGGAGGCGGTCGCGGCAGGAGTGGTTGGCGGTGCAGAGGACGAGGTGCTTTGGCAGGTCCGCCTGCGAGGGGGACTTGAGGCGTGGGCGTGGGCTGGCCGTCACGACGAAGTGCGTTGGCCAGCCCCGCCTTTGAGAAGGACTGCTCGCAGATGCGGCACACGGCCATCTCTCCCCCTCTCTCCCCCTCTCTCCCCCTCTCTCCCCGCCTTTGAGAAGGACTGCTCGCAGATGCGGCACACGGCCATGCCCGCGTCGGCAGGAGAGTCGCCAGACACAGGCGAGTTCGAGGCCGACTCGGAGGTGGTCGCAGAGGGGAGGGTGCAGGAGCTCGCCTAATTCATTTCATCATTCATTCGGGGAGGGTGCAGGAGCTCGCCGAATTCAGTCATTACTTAATTGATTCGGGGAGGGTGCAGGAGCTCGCCGAATTCATTCATTACTTAATTGATTAGGGGAGGGTGCAGGAGCTCGCCGAATTCATTCATTACTTAATTGATTCGGGGAGGGTGCAGGAGCTCGCCGAATTCAGAGGACTCAACGCTGACTCTCTTTCAGCAATCACAGGCGGGGTGCAGCAGCGATGAAGAGTAGCCGTGGCGGACTCCCTCTCAGCAATCTCCGGCGGGGTGCGGGAGCCCACCCCGCTGCAGCCGGGCGGGCTGAAGTCGGTCGACGAGGAGGTCCGGCCGGGCGAGCCGGTCGGGAGCAGCTGCGCGGCGGCCTAAGTAGACTAGAAAAGGTCTAGGAAAGGTCTAGGACAGGTCGGGAGCAGCTGCGCCGCGACCTAAGTGGAGCAGACGAGCACTCGCACTCGCGATTCGTCATGCCGCCAGTCGGGAGCAGCTGGGCGGCAGGCCATCGCTGCGCGCACAGACTCGCGCGACAGCGCGGGCGGAGCCTCGGCCGGCGGCGGCGCCTCGCTGAAGAGAGAGGCCTCCTAGGAAGTGTCTAGGAAGTGTCGAAATAGTCTCCTAGGAAGCCGTCGCTGGAGAGAGAGGCCGCGCCTCGGCCCCCGCGCCCGCCCCCCCGGAAGAGTAGCGCTCGCCTGGGGAGATGCGGCGAGATTTGGGGAGAGAGAGGGGGGGGGAGGAGATGCCCCGGAGGAGTAGCAGCGCTCGCCAGCGACCAGCGCTGACTCGGCCTCGCGCGCAGAGCGGGCCGCCTACAGGAAGGTTCCCGGAGAGGTCCAGGAAAGGTCTGGGAAACGCGTCTCGTGTGCGGGAGCGGGCCGCCCGGTTGACCAGCCGCGCGGCGTCGGCGGGCGAGGAGCGGCCTGGCGACGAGCGAACGCGCGGGGAGCCGTACCCCCCGCTCGCCTAGTTGAGCACTCATTCCTCGTCCTCGCGCTCTCATAATGAGAGCGGGGTTGCTGTCTCCCGTCCGCTCGCCGCGGCGGCGGGAGAGCGCAGCAGCGGCCGGCGAGGCGATGCGCCGTACCCATGCCCTCTGCCGCGGGGCGAGGCGCCGGTCAGCGGGGAGCGGCGGACGGGCGCGGCGCCCTCCGTCCCCGCGGCGTCCGCCTCCTCGTCGGACCACTCCCCCTCTGCCGAGAGGGGCCGGGAGGGCTGCGGAGGGGCCTCGGAGCCGGCGGCGGCGGCGGCAGAGTGCGGCGAGGACGAGGCTTGCGAGAGGGGGGCCCCCTCCCCCGCCCCCTGC